ACACAGATCTAATCTTCTAGAAAAAGCCCCGAAGGTTTGAGCAATCTACCAGTTGCAGGAACCCATAAAGCTTTTTTTTTTTTTCTTTTTTTTTTCCTTTTTCCATTGTGTAAGCATGACAAATCATTAATTTTTGATTGATTGCTTTGAATTATGGGTGCTCTGACATCCTTTCTGTAGCTGAACAGCTGTATAACAAATGAACATATCAGTGCTCACAAAAGATTGGAGATCTAACAGAAGCAATTACATTGTCAGCTCCTCCCTTCTGGCTTTTCCCAGGCAATGGAGGGAGGAAATTTTTTAACAGAAATTCCTCAAGTGGCTAACAATAATAATAATAAAAAAGAAACTCGTTGTAATTGAATTAGATTTTTATCTCTTCATTGCGAGTACATTTCTTAAACTGGAAGCCGAGGTACGTTGCTGCTTTGTGCGCCTCGGAGAATGTCTTTCAGCAAAATTTCACATTAGGAATTAAAACCAAATTGTAATTTTCAGCTGCTATTCCTTTAAGATTTCAGAATTGCACCAGTGCACTAAATGTGACCTCCATAACTTTTAAATTAAGAATTTATGCTGGCTTGAAATTTATGAAATATTTCAGCATGAAAGAAAGCCTTTTTCCCTCAGGAAAATTGAGCAATAAATCACAGCACTCTCGATTTACTGCCCTACAGCCAGCCAAAGATAGGATTTTTTTTTTTCCTTCCCCCCTTCCTTCTGAAAAAAAAAATGTAATCATATAAGACAGCTTAGCTGCTATCCTCCCACTCTCTAGAATTTTTAATTTCAGCTGTTTCTGCTTGGATTTATTTCCAATATTCCTGCTCGGCTTTTCAATTTCCTCAGTTATTAAATTTTAATTCAGTGCATTAGCATTTAAATTAAAAAAGGGTTTATTTTATCGAAATCGTTGGCTAGCCCCCATCCTGCTGCACATGAATTGCCTGTTTCTGCCATTTGCACAAAATGTGAAATGCAGCTAATATCTTTTAACTTATATTTGCACAAATTCAGAAATAAAATTTCTGGGTTTGGAATAACATTGTCTTTCCAAGGAAGGCTCTAATCAGAGAACGGGGAGAAAGACGCAGAGCCTGGCGAGCTGAAGAGGCAGCAGCCGGAGACGCTCCCCAATAATCCGGTTTGGGCGGCAGGCGGGCGCTGAATTAGGCAGTTCATGACTAACCAGGGAGCTCTGCTCTGCTTGGCCCCTCTCGTTAGGCAGCAGCACAGGTAGGTTTAGACAGCAAACCCCAAGCAAGCCACTTACTGGGCCCAGTGTCCAACCAACTGGTGTCTAGGAAGAGTTTGCCCAGGAGAGCTGGGACTTGGATGAGTCCGGCTTTGGGATGGAGAGGGATTATTCCAGGTTTAATTTGGCCTTTTAGGTGCAGTCGCGGTCGGGTTGCGTAGCCCGCGGGCCGGGCGCGTCGCTGGGCCCTGCGCGAGCTGCTCTCCCGGGGTCCGTGTCCCGCCTGGCCACTGCAGCCCCTCCGAGCACACAGCAGCCACGGCGCCTTTTAGCCCTAAGTCTATCGGATTTTTTGTGTCTTTGCCTTATTTTCCCTCCACAGAAGGATGTTTTCCTGTTTTAGACCTCGAAAGGCTCCAGCGTAGCACAATAAAATGATTGCACAAGAGGTTTCCTAGCAGTTGCCACCAGCATGGTGTGTTGTCATGCACATGTGCACTGGGGAATAAGCTTTGACTTCCCAGAAGGTTGCCTCGCTTGTGGACCTGTGTCTTAAATTATACCTCAGTCTACTCAAAACTTAATGCGTGTACTTGGGTTTAAGTGCATGACACGTCCTGCCAAAATTGAGAATTGAGCATGTGTGTAATTGAGAATGGAAAAACCCAAGGTATTTTTGGTGCAGAGTGCGAGCAGGAAGAGTTGGAGTGCAATCTTGCCTTTCTTATCCTAAACAGCCTTTTTTAATATCTTTTTGTCCCCTAGGCTGACGAGAGCAACAGCACTGGAAGGAGGAGCTCCTCAAGCAGGTACGTGGATGGTTTCTCTTTTCCCGTGGGATGTTCTGGGCAGGCCTGGCTCTGGAGCAGGAGATGGGATGGTGGAAACGAGGCCATCCAGGGAGGGCGAGACGAGGACTTTAGGGTGCAGGAACCCTCCACCCATTTGTGGATGGTGCTAAATGCCTGGGCTGATGACAGAGAACTGCGGCCATCGGGACTGCGAGGAGCTGCGTGGTTGTGGGCAGCGCAGGGTGGTCTGCCCGGGTGTCCCTGGCGCCTGCCCACATCTGAGGGGGACGCAAGGCTTGCAGGATGTGCCTCTGGTGGAGACCTTCAGTGGTGGCTGGGGAAGGCCGCCCTGTTCCTGTGCACGGACAGGGAGGGGAGGGCTGTGCCCGTGGCCCCAGCGCCCTCGTGCCTCGGGGGCCTTGAAGAGCAGCGTTGCTGTGGGAGAGAGGGCGGCAGCCGAGCGACTCGGCCTGGCAGCGTCCGATCCATCTGGGACCGCAGGCACATGAGGCCTCTGTTACTGCGGAGCCATGCCTGACGTGGTAAGCTCATCTCTCAGTATGGGTGGGTGGTCAGGTAGCAGTCAGCGATGCCGGGCAGCCAGTGTGGTCAACGCTGTTAGTGTCTGGGAGCGTGAGGCCTGCGAAGGGCAGCAGGTGACCCCAGGGCGAGAAGGCATCTGTGAGAGTTGGAGGAAAAGGATAGGAAATGCGGGCAGGGAACATTGAAGGTGGACAAGGGACACAGTTCCTTAGAGTTGGGACCATGAAGCACCGAGGCACCACTTAGGAATTACGTTGGAATGAGTGGGGAATATAAACTGTACAAAGTTTGGCCACATGGAAGGAGTCCAACATGAGTTGGCCGCCATGGAAGGAGTCCACGTGGTCTGGTGGGCTCCCCTCCACCTGGGGGACGGTTCCGTTGGGTTTGCACATGTCCTCATTACTAGAAGGTCATGGCTGCTTCTGGTGCTGGTGGCAGGCGGGCACTGAAGCCAGAGCTCCACGTCCGTGTGAGGAAGGGCGGATGGGGCTGGAGGGTCAGAAACGCTGCGCTCGCTGCACTGCTCTGCTCTGCTCTGAGGTGGTGGTGGCAGCAAGGCCTCCTCCTGTGCAGAACGAGCCGTGTCTGTGCACGCAGATGGGCACTGGCCTTGGTGCTGCTCTCATCTGGCCTTGGGGGTGGCCCAGAGCTCTGCGGTCCAGCAGGTCCCCTTTGAGACGTGGGGCTTTTATCTGGCTACCCAAAGGCCCTTGAAGTTAGGCAGCTGGAATCCCCGCTCTCCTCCCGTGCTGCCTTCCTCTCCTAAAGCTTGACCTGTGTTTCATGCCCTCCCCTTTGCTCTAGCCAGCAATAATGTGTCTACAGATAGTGTTCCAGAACACCTTCTTGTTGCCGACAGGGCTTAAAAGCGCTGCTGAAGCAGCATCTGTCAGGTGGAGTGCTTCCTTCCACGTGGAAACCGTCTCTGTTCTTCTGATCTTGGAAATCCTTCACGCGAGGTCCTCCTTCCACCTCCCGTTGTTAAACGTGCACCTTGTGTCCCTGCTGTGACAGCCACTTACCCTTCCATCACTCCTCGCAGTGCCCTTTCTCAACATCTTAGGCGTGTAAGAAAAAAGGATTATTGAATTAAAACGCTGGTTTTTGTTTGTCAGGAGCTCTCTAGTAATGCCAAATATTGCCTGGCTGTGAAGGACTCCTGGTTGTCCACTGGAGTAGGGCCCGGGTGAGGGCAAGGGCAGCTCCCTGCTGCGGGGAACCACGCCAGCACTGCGCGTCTTGTGCAGAGGAGCCTGCTCTCTGATGGCCCTGTTAAGATGAGCAAAGGCCAACGTCTCCAAAAGTAGGCACCAAATTTACACCCTTAACAAGAGATGTAGCTGCCGGAGTGCCAGAACTTGCTGTTCTTTAAATATATTGAGAATAAGTGCTAAGGCTGGTCATTAAAAAAGTGGAAATGAAATCCAATTCATAATTTACCTGACTGACTTGAAGATGGGTGAAAAAGAAGAGTAGCGCAAGCTATTTCAAAAATAAAGTGGAAATAAAATCTAATATTTTCAGAAAGCAGTATTGGTGTCCCCAGGTTGGAAATTGGGTTTGATAAAATCTCCTCTGAGGCTTCAGTGGCTGAGATGCAAGATTTTGTTTTTCAGTGTTGCTGCTTGAAACTACCTCATTCATGGCAAGCTATAGTGTAAGCACACTTCATTATTAATTTATATCAGTGAAAAGTTTAAGCAAAGTAAGGTGGTTGAGTAACAACATTCTGCATTTTTTAAACTCTGATATGTTTGATTTTAATATTGTAACCGTAGAATTATGTTGCTCCTATTTTTATTTACTGTATTGGTTTTCTTGTTGCAAGCAAATATTTAAAGCTCTGAAGGCCCAAGATTTTAGAGTTTTTACCGCTTTCATGGCTCTAATTTGACGTGTCTGTTGCCTTTGTAATAAGAGGGTTCAATGTGCGACATAACAGCACAGAAAAAAACCTTTCTTTTAAAGGAGCTAGAAAGGTCATGGCTGTTTACCTTAAGAAGAAGAGAACTAAGACAAAAGCTGGGCATGTTACTGCATGGCCTACAAAAGCTAGACCAGAGAACTTCTTTTGCAAGAGAAGGAAAAGTCGACAAAATTAATAGGTAACAAATTGAACAATAAGAAGCAGTATATTTTTTTCCTACATGATGAGCACTCAGCTCTTGGGCCATGTCTCTAAGTGATGGAGACCAGTGCTTGGGTGGGCTTGAGAAGGCCTAAGGCACCCTGGGCTGTAGGTGACATGGTTCTTTGGGTAGGAGAATTTCCCGGGCACCAGTTATGCTGGATGTACGTATGTGTATACGCAGTATGCTCCAGTGGCCTGCCAGGGCCTTTCCTGAGGCACCTTCTGGAATGGGCCAGATTGGATCCATTCACTGGCATGAGCCTGGCGGACACTTCTGAAGGTCTTTCCTTGAGAGTCCAGGGTGGTGTGGGGACAGCTCTCAGGAAAGCAGACCTCGAGGGAATCGCGGGGGATCTCTGCAATGCTGTTGTAAAACTAACTACTTGCCGCTAATTAATGTCAGCATTCAGAGGGTGGGCTCCGGATCTTTACAAGAAATAATTGAAAAACCAAATGTGCAATTATGTCTGACAAGCAGTGTGTGCTTTTCTTGGTCATGAGAGCCTTGTGTAGCCATGTGCTAGGCACAGTGTTATGTAATTATTATTGTTTATATGGTTGGTGTCAGAGGAAGGAAGAGTTTTAGTTTGAAGTCCTCCATTGGCTATTTATTTTAAAGTCATTAGATTTGTTTTCAGACTTAACTACACTTAATGTGCGAGACTCCTGCTGAATAAATGAGCCCCTGATACGGGAGCTGCATCTGCTTGCGGGAGGGAACGGAGCCAGCTGGAAGCGGCGGCCCCGTCTGCGCCGTGGCTGCCACGCCGGGGAAGCCGCCCGCGGATGTGGCTGTGCGGGACGCGGCTCTGCCCCGAAGGGAGGCGGGCTGCAGCCCGGCGAGGCTGCAGGGAGAGGCTGCAGAGAGAGGCTGCGCGGGGCGAGCGGGAGGAAGGCTCCAGCGCTCCTGCCGGGCGCTCCGCTCGGCTCCTGCCGCCGGGCCAGGCCGCGCCGCCTTGGTGGCCAGGCAGTTTCCATCGCTCCCGTGGAGAATACGGCCTTGCCGCTGGAGCAGGAGGTGCCAGCGGTGGTTGCACGCGCTGCTTTGGCTTTCTCCTCCCCAGTTACCCCGTAGCCTCCGTTCTGCTTCCTTCCCGTGCTACCACATGGCTTGTTCTGCCCTTTGCAGACACCTCCACTCCCTTAGCCCAGCGGATCTCTCCTCTGTAGTGGTAGCAGCTCCACTCTTTCTCTTCGATCCAAGCTCCGTGGGGCCTCCAGCATTGAGGGAGTCCCATCTCTGAGCGTGCAGCGGCTCGCGCTTGGGGAGTCCATGGAAATAGTGCTGCTGTGATCCTTGGGCATGGCCGCACATCCCAGGGGAGGCGGGTGTATGGGGACAGTGCAGGTGGAGGGGGCACGCGTGGGATTTTCAGTCACAGAGCATGAAAAGCTTGAGAGTCATCTTGCATCAAAATAAATATATATTTATAATTAGGCAATTAATACATAATAAAACTTGGTCCTCTCTAAAGGAAAAATCTCACTATCTCAAAAAAATAGGACAAAAAAACCACAAAACCTCTCTCAAATCCCCAGTAGCTGATTTAAGAGAAGTGGGCAGCTGAGTTGTGTTTTTACCAGTAGAAAAGCTGTAGGGAAGACAGGCAGGTTGCCTTGAAACCTGCACGCCAGACAGGATGCCATAAATACACAGTTAAGAGAAAAGATGATAGCTCCTAGTCACATCCTGGCTCCTATGGGACTCGCGTGTTTTCTGAGTCGTCCACACCAACTTGCCCAATGTTCATAGCTTTGGAAGTCGATACGGAGGAGAAATGTGCCCTTCTGGAGCCATAAAACGCTGACACGCACTAGCACTGAGGTCTTAAGTAAAGCTGAGGTTCCAGGAGATCATTTTTCCATAGGTCACCTGCTCTCCTGGCCAGCTTGGGGTTGTTCCGATAAGAGCACATCCTCGCATGCGTTGTTTGCTTAGTGCATGTGTACCTGCAGCAGCCGGACACGCGCCGCTCATTTGTGTCGTTGCGAAGTGTCATCCCGCTCGCAGGCTCCTCTCTCCTCTTTGGTCTGTCTTCTGCTTTTGCTTTGCTCATCCCGTTTGTCCTGCGACGGGTTCTGCTGCATTGTCACCAGCGGGGGCTTCTCATGCTCCTCCCGGAGGACCCACGGGTATCTGTAGGCAGTCGCCACCCCCTGCATCATCTCTTAGTCAAGCAACATAGGATTCTTTCACTGATATAAATAACCCGTTAATCTATTCTCTTTGTTTTTTCCTTGAATTTCTTTGTCTCTGTTGACATTTCCGTGCTTGAAAATTTAAAGATGCTGGCAGCTATTTTAATATCATCTTAAATTTAGGTTTTAACCTGCATTGTTC